ACCACCATCTGCTGACTTTTGACATCAGCACACCCAGGACCCAACTGACACCACCTTTGCCACATCATTATCACAGAAAACTCCAATGTCTTGACCTAGAGCACTTCTCCACTAATCTCCAAACTCTCCTTTTACTTATCTCAAACCTAACCTGCCCTAGCTCAGCAATCTCCTTCTACAATTCCACCCTCTACTCTCAACTAGACATCATGGCAGCTCCTACACTTAAATGCAGCAAGCGCTCCCATATACAACCTTGGCACACCAAACTGACTCGATACCTCCAAAAATGTTCCAGAACTGTAGAACGCTGCTGGAGAAAGTCTCACTGTGCGTCTGACTTTCTCCACTATAAATTTATGCTGCGCTCTTACAGCTTGGCTCTTTCCTCTGCAAAAGTAAATTACCTCAATACCCTCATAACCACATTCTCCTGCGAACCCAAATGACTATTTCAAAGTTTTAACTCTTTTCTTCGCCTTGTTGCTCCACCTCCTCCTACGGACTTAACTGCCACAAACTTTGCAACTCACTTTACTGACAAGATCTCTGCAATCAGGGAAACGATCTCTCATGTCTCTCCTTCCCCTTACAATACTTCACCCAACCTCACTCCCTCTGCTTTTCTATGTTCATTTGCACCCACTACAGCGGAAGAGGTTTCTGATCTACTCCGGTGCTCCAGCCACACCACCTGCTCCCTTGATCCTATTCCCTCGCATCTCATCCGTACTCTCTCTTCTTCTCTAGCTTTACCTCTCACTAAAATTCTTAATCTCTCCCTCTCATCTGGCATATTTCCATTACTATTCAAACATGCGACTGTAACCCCGATTCTAAAAAAGCCCAACCTTTCCCTAACTCCCCGTCTAACTACCGCCCTATCTCGCTACTGACTTTTGTGTCAAAGATCCTTGAAAGACTTGTGTACAGGTATATGAGGTTAACAGACTTCCTCAAGTCCAATTCTTTGCTCAACCCCTGCTCAACAGACTTCCTCGAGTCCATTCTTTGCTCAACTTCAGTCTGGTTTCCGCACTCAGCACTGTGAGGAAATGGCTATGGCCAAAGTATCAAACAATCTATTAGCTGCAAAATCTTATGGTCACTTCTCTTTCCTAATTCTCCTTGACCTTTCAGCTGCTTTTGATATTGTTGATCATCAACACCTTCTTCTCATCCTCCGTAATCTCGGTCTACTAGATACTGTTCTCTCCTGGTGCTCCTCCAACCTCACCCAGCACTCTTTTAGTGTCTCTTTCTTTGGCTCTGCCTCTTCATCCCAACCGCTCTCTGTTGGTGTCCCCCAAGGTTCAGTTCTTGATCCCCTACTGTTCTAGATCTATACTGCTCCCTTGGTAAACTCATCACCTCCTTTGGCTATCAATATCACTTCTATGCGAATAACACGCAAATCTATCTGTCATCCCCTGAACACTCTGACGGCCTCTCTGCTATTTCTGACTGGATGGCTGCCCACTTCTTTAAGCTCAATTTGTCCAAAACAGAACTTCTGGTCTTTCCTCCCTCAATTGTGGCTACTCCTGTTTCTCTCTCCCTCCACGTTAATGGTGCTACCATCAGCTCCACCACGCAGGCTCGCTGCCTAGGTGTTCTCTTTGACTCCGACCTCTCCTTCACCCCTCATGTCCAGTCGATCCCCAAATCCTGCCGCTTCCATCTAAAAAACATTGCGCGCATCTGCCACTACTTAACGCCAGATGCGGCTATGGTGCTGGTCCATGCCACAGTCCTCTCTCGCCTTGACTACTGCAATCCTCTTCTCAGTGGTCTTACGTACTCCCAACTTGCCCCATTGCAGTCTATAATGAATGCGGCTGTGAGGCTCATCTTTCTGTCTGCCCGCACCTCCCATGCCTCACCACTCTGTCAGTCCCTGCATTGGCTTCCCGTAAGATATAGGGCTCAATATAAAATTCTGGTTCTTACTTTCAAATCTCTATATAATGCTACTCCCACCTATCTATCCTCTCTAATACATCTAGTATGTCCCATCTAGGACCCTACACTCTGCTGAAGACCTGTATCTGTCAGGAGTCTTACCTGATGGGGAGTCCGGCTCGCAGAGTTATACGCTCACCCTTGCAAAGTAGACACAGACCAGGGTGACCAGGTAAGAAGCCACCTGCTCTGTGAGTCTGTGCACGGGGGCTTTCCAGGAATAGTGCTCCAAGTAGCAGTACAGCAGGGATTAGCAGAAGCGTAGTCAAGGAAAGCCAAAGTCAGGGGAAGCCAGAGATCAGAGTAGTTCAGGAGGAAAGCCAAGGTCAGAAGCCAGAATCAGACAGGAAATACTGAAACGCTGATATGGCATGATCAATGAACTGACACTGCCCGCAGGGAGAGGCAGTGTCTTATACCTGGCTAACTGGTGATCAGCCACAGGTGTGCTGAGATTGTTGGAGCAACCACAGAATAACGTCCAGCCCCCAGTGCTGGGTACAAGGCAAGATTATACTTCAGGCAATCCTAGAGCAGGTCCAGGATTGCAAAGTACCCAGGTTCAAGTCCGGCACCAGGCACTTCTGGGGCAACCTCGTCTGGATGTCGCGGTGAGAACCGTGACAGTATCTCTTCTCCGTTCATACTTCGACCTCTGATGCTCGTATTCAAGTCTTCTCTAGGGCTGCACCGTTCCTGTGGAGCTCCCTTCCCTTTTCCATTAGATGCTCACCCAATCTCCACTCCTTCAAAAAAATCATTAAGAAACTCACTTTTTCACAAAAGCATGTCAATTAAACTGTTAATGGCTCCAAAAAAAACCACACTAAGTCTTCATTGAATACTATTCTACCAATCTACTTCCCTAATACTTCCCTTACCTTTTGTGTCACTTTACCCCACTCCCTCTAGAATGTAAGCTCATTAAGCAAGGCCCTCAACCCCTCTGTTTCTGTGCTTCAAACTTGTCTGGTTACAATTACATGTTTGTTATTCCACCCATTGCAAAGCACTATGGAATTGGCAACATATAAATAAAATAATAATAATAATAATAATAATAATGGCTAAACCCATTATAACTAACACAACCCCCAAGATACCTGCACATATCACAAGCCCTGCACATAACCCAAACCCTAGTGTACATTTAAATAGCAGATGATTTTAGTACTACTTGATAAGCTCTGGTGCCAATGTCAAGACATATCTCTTAGATGTGACATATGCTAACAGCTCCCCTAGCTGATTTCAGCTTAAGGGCAAAACCTTCCGTGAGATAAAAGGGGGCTTTCTTCTAAAACCCTACAAACAAAATAAACCCAAATAAGAAACACACAGGAATTTGGGATTGTTTTTATAATTATATCCTTCAATATCATTGGATTCCTAATCTGTGCTTTTTACTTGTCATTGTATAATTTGCCATTTTTTCCGCCCAGTATTTGTTCCTGTGATATGGTCTACTTAGGTTTTAGGCAAAGCACTAACAATAAATATACTTATACTGTATGTAAAAATGGTAATTTATTTGCACAGGAGCATGTGTTAAGGCTTACACATAGCTACAAGATTCTCTTTTGCCTTGCAGCGACATATGTAACCAGTTCCTGTGCTTAAAATGTCATTGTCAACGCTTTTCCAGTGAACGAGGCAAAAGGACGATCTATAAATAAGTGTGTGTGTAAAGGCGTTTACAAATCCGTACAGCCTGCCCTCCTTCCTTGTACTAATGCAGGCAGGCTCCTCCTAATACTGCAGTCTCTTTAGCTGAGCACTCTGTAACACTCTACAGCGTCACCATTGACAGACAGGGCACCTGGGATCAGTGTTCAGAAACTCGTCTTTTTATGTCTCATCCGACTGTCACATGGCTATAATCAGAAGAAGAATGACTTTAATACAAAGCGCAGCTTCCTCCTTCGAAGCTACTTCAAAGCCTGCAGTCCCCTCTAGTTACTGCAGAATTACAAAGCTGCATTTCTTTTTTTTTTCTTTTTTTTTCTTTTTTTTTTTCCCTTCTAGTCTGTGGAGAGATCAGCTTCTGATCCTTTTAAATGACCAGCTTGCTGTATCTTGTTTACAGTTCTTTGCAGAAAAGGTTAGAGCTCGGTTACAGTTCTGTGCACAATCATTTGTTCACTTAGGATAAACACCGTGATCTGGTGAGAAAACTAAACGCGTCCTAATCTGCACAAACATAGTCTACGTTAATTATGACGCTACAACGTTAATCACAACTAAGTTACATAACCAAGTACGGGTGACCTCACAAATATTTGTGGTGTAGTTGCATGTTAAAGAATTATAACTATATCATTATTTCTAACAAGGCTGTAAAAAAAGGGTCAATGTTTCCTCTTTTTAAGGACATTACCAAGGTTCATCTCAGCTGCTTGTTCACTAAGAATAGATTGTCCCTGTGATACCTGATGCTGGAATCTAAAACTAGTAGGTTTGATACGGATTGTGACAGAGGTCAGGGGTAACAAAGTAGAATGGTCAGAGTAGGCAGAGAACAAGCAATAAATTGCTTATTTTCATGTTAAGAATATAAAAATATTTATTGGTTGCCAGTTTGTTGTGGTTATGTCCTAAAGCAAACTATTTTAATTAGCTGCATTATGTATTGGTACATGTATCAGTCCACAGTTGATTTATAGGGTCCTCATCACTGAGGTCCTTACTGCAGCTAAACTCATCTCAGTATAAATTTCTTGGGTATCTAATAGCTAGTCCAGGGGTCAAGAACCTATAGCGTGGCACTCAAGACTGCCAGAGCAAAACAGGAGTCCCAGAGGTACTTCAGGTATCTGCTAGTGCAACCTGAGCGGTGATTGCAGGTGGTTAGGGCCAATACTCAATTTACACATTGCAGCACTTACCAGAAGTGATTTCAGATCCGCATTTGTAAACAGTTATCTACACTGGAGTAGAGCAGACAGCAGCAGCTATCGGAGCTCCTTCCCTTAACCTGTACCTCGCGAACCTGGTCCCCAATGGACTCCAGGGAAGATACCCACATTACTAGAAATATACAGAACTGCAGAAGAAGCCTCCACTCATACAAATAACATAAACAGCCCATACACAAACACACACACAGTCCCCACGAACACAACACCACTGACAATCCACATACACATACACAACCCCACATGCAGCCTCACACATGCAATACCATAAGCAGCCCCACACAAATATCACCACCAAACATACAATGTGGCATACAATCCAGACATACAATTCCACAAGTGGCCCACATTCATAGGCATGATAGGCAATACTACAACATGCACACAAATACAAGGTTACAAAGCAACTGCAACACCTATAAAAAACACAAGCACAATTTGGCAACAGATACACCTCAACTTAAAAAAATAGCACCGGCACGCCAAGGGACTTCAAGATCTTGTTTTGGCACAGTACTACTTAAAGATTGTCTACCCCTGCTCTAGACGCTTGGACCTAAGCCTAAAGTATTGTAGTGATAAGCAGCAGAATTCTATGTGCAATTCAATGATTGTATCACTTACATGGATCCATAGACACCCCTTGCAGTGATGCAAAAATGACACCCAGACCTTTACTATTTAAATTCATAAAGGTTCTCTTGCTTGGTGTAGTTCTGTTTACCCGAAGAGCATGTTCCTCGCTATTTCTTGATTCCCTGGTTATTGATTTGCCCTGTTTATTCTGGTTTCTGGTTTTTCTTCATTTGGCTTGTAATCCTGGTATTGTTATAATACATGTACCTTGCAGGAAAGCATACATTTAAAGGTTAATCTCTAGAAGCAGGTTTAGCAGTAATATTGCAGTTAGCATGTTAATCTCACTTGTTAAATGAGGGTAGAACCCACCAATATTGGAGTACCAGGGCCGATGCAAGGAATGTTGCCACCCTAGGCAAAGATCTATTTTGCCGCCCCCTCATGAGATTGTTCTACAAGTGTATTCACTAAACTCCAAAAGGAAACATTCCACTGATTTCTTTGAACAATTTAGTAGATATACCCCCAAAAGAAAATATGCTTTATACTCTGCAAGTCGTCCAATCAGCGGCTTCTCACTAAGAAGCCTCTGTTCTGGGGCTGCAGTTGAGCGCATGCGCACTTGATCACAGCTTTCCTATGTTCCCCTAGTTCAGATCATTGAGAAAGGGAGAAGGCAGGTGCATGCTAGCACAGCACATCTGCCTCTTCTGGTAGCCCTGTGGAGCAAAGGGAAGTGGGAGAAAACATTCCTAACTGTGTGACAGACAGGGAGGTATTTTTTACAGCAATTAGAAAAGGTCTAATTTCTATTGAAATCAGCCTTTTTATAAACTGTCAAGAAAATGACAAACTCCAGACATATAAAGCACCTCAGCAAGATGAAGTACTTTGTGTGTACACACACACACACACACACACACTTTCTTCCCTCACATACTCAGGTGGGCACAGTCAGTCAGTGTGGTACCTGTTCTGTGTCATGCTTCCAGTCTTTATGTGCATCCGAATGACAGAATTGCCAAAATTGGTCCGAATTTCAATTCGGACGGAAAGGAATTGCACATGTCTAGTCCCTGCCACCAGGAACAGGACAGGAGAAGCAGCACCTGGAACCTTCTCCCTCCCACTGGCCGCCTCTTCAAAGGACTTCTGGAGGAAGAGACTTGGGAGGAGGAGGCAGAGGCATCCCCTCTCTATAGCCAAGAGTCAGAAGCACCTGCTGCAATGTGCTATGCCCAGACTTAGCTCAGACAGAGCATTTAGCATTCCTGTAGGCTGAAGTGGAGGGAGGATGTGGCACCAGGTGGACCCCAGAAAATAAATTAAACCGTTTTATATTGGTGGGTAGTGCCAAGGCACTTCTGTCATTCTAACCACCACAACACTTGCTTGTTGCTTGGAGTGTTTGTTTAATATAAAATTAGTTCTAAAATGTATGGACTCTTTTATAAACTGTGCAATATTTTTTTGTCTGGTATGCTATTTTTTTCTCATATTAAATATAAATTTGTTTACAAAAACTGTCTGTTACACGTATATTTACAATCAGCTATTTTAAAATTGACTCTGTGTGAAGAGGTATATTTGCAAGAATGACACATTTACTTACTGTCTGTTTATTTAGTTATCTTACAGATTACATTCCACCTGCATAGGCCAATGAGGGAACTAAATAGCACATATGGTAGAGTGGCACTAAGCTGTAAAATATATGGCAAAATATATTTGTACAGTTATCAAAAGCAACAGGCTGCCAGATGGAGAACACTGCTGAAATAGCAATGCTACATTTAGAAATCCCAAAGGAAAAACATAAGCATATATTCTTAATTATACAAGTATGCACAACAACAACAACAAAATTGTATCTCTGGATTATGAAGAAAAAATGAACCCCCTGTGCAAATACGTGAATGCAGATTCCAAAGACTGAAAGAGATCATAAGATGTCTTACCAGTCCTTAAAGGGTGACTGAGGTGACCAAGGGTAAAGAGGAACTTATCTGGAATTTACATCAGTGAGTAAAATATTGAAAATAATTTATAACTTTTGTTTAATCAAGATTTTTTTATTGAGGATAATGCGGAAAATAAGAAAAATTATTGCAATATGAGCGAGATGCGCAGGTCTCTAAACTTAATGTAAAGCTTCTGATCTCACAGGGCCATCCACGGAGTAGAAAATATAACACTTTAATACATTTGTAACAGAGGAGTAAAAACTTAGTTACAAATTCCTATCAGGTCAATTAAATTTGTTTACTGTATAGACCTTCATTAATAAGCCTTGGAAGAGAGACAATAGCCCAACAATCTACAGCTTGGATGTAGGCCAAATACATCAATATCATGAACTGTGAGATATCGAAGGTATGTGCTGTGTGTAAGTTGAATTACCTTTGTGTGCCTCAGAGGTATGCTTGCATCTAACCTCGAGTACATATACTATGTATAGCTCAACTCACATATGAGGCTACATGATGTGGGCTGTGACCGCGTCCCCCACTACCCTACAAGAGTAAAATTTCCCGAATCATTGCACTCTCAACTCCAAGTGGTCTGTAAGATAGCTTCGTAGACCGCTCTTGATACAACCTCCGTCTCTCTCACCCCTGTCTGTAAACATTGTCAGAGTAAAATATAGCAATATCAAGATAAAGTAATTGTAACAGTTAAGCAGATAACTGAAACAGAAGTATAGAGAGTATGCTTCCCTCTTCTAAGTCTGCTCCTCCACCCCCGGGTTCCCATCCATCCAGCCATCTTTTCCCACCATAAACTCCATCCATGGCTGCCATTTCTCTGCATGCTATCTTTCACTGTTCCCTATCAGGGATGCATGCAATGCATCTGCAACCTGGATCTCCCCCACCCTGTCTAGCCGCGATATTTATAACTTTTGTTAACCCTTTTTCATGAGCTGCTCTCTTTTCTATTACATTTATCTTAAACATTTTGTAAATTAGATCTTAATCCAGTTTAGACAAGGCAATGGCAAGGCAAACATTCCAAGTGAAGAGAAGAAATAGAAACATTGTTTCATTATTTATAACAATGACTGACCGGGAGCTAAGATGGAGGCACCCAGTTGCAGGTTGAAGATGTATGGATTTCTACATTTACAGGATTATCCACTAAAGTGAGAATTACCAGGAATTCAAAGTGAATTTCATCACGTTCGCCAAAAGAGCATCTTTAGAAAAATTCCCTGAGTCAGTTGGGTTTTTAGTTTGGCTTTTTGGCCTTAAAGGATCACTAAAGTCACCCAGACCACTTCAACTTAATAAAGTGGTCTTGTTCAGTGGCCCTGTCCTTTTAACCCAGTAATGTAAAACATTGTCACTTTAAAAAGGAAGACAGAAGACATACACTAGAAGTGCTTCCGCTACAATGAGTAAAAATCGGTCACGTGAGGTTGCAGCACACAGGAAAGCATTGAATTTAATGCTTTCCTATGAAAAGCATTTGGATGTGCACACGGAGATTGCCTTGCACATTCATCGGTTTCCAGTGTTCCCCATGAGGAGCAATAGATTGGTCATTGGCTCAAGAGCTCAATATGGGAGGAAGTGGTTGGGAGTGGAGTGTGTTATCACCAATGACACTCACAGTTCCAAAAGTGAACTTTTCAGTTTGATGCCCCTCTAGGATAGCTTTTGCACAGAGCCCTGCTGAAGAACTCTGTTTAGCATAGTGCAAGTCCAGCGGTTTCAAAGGGAAAGTTTAGGCATCCTAAGACACCATAACAACTTCATCTAAATTATATTGTTATGGTTCCAGAAGGCCCCCTGGTGCATTCTTACCTTCAGGGATAAAACCTTTTTCGAATGGTTTAACCCCGAAGTTGCATCTAGCACTGATCACAGCTCCCCCTGGCGGCCTCCGAATTCTGAAATTTCACATTCAGGAATTCAGAATGCAGACGGCTCCCCATTTACAAAACTGGCTTGGTAAAGGTACGTTTCTTTCCAAGCCAATTTTTTAGGAGCCAAGCGCTTGTGGGGTTGTGTGTCTGTGAATGGCGCTGATAATAGTGTAGTGTGTGTGGAGAGGCCAGACAGTGGTGTACAGTGTAGGGAGTGGTTGTGGTGTGTCTTTGTGTGGTGGATATTGGTTGTAGTGTATGTGTGGGTGGTTATGAACTCTAGTGTATGTGCAATGATAAGGGATGTTATGAATGTTTGTGGGAGGATAGGGGCAGTAGTAGAGGGGCAGTTGTGTGTGTGGGGGGGACATATAGGATGTAGATGTGGTATAGAAGCTGTAGTGAGGGGATATAGGAGCTGTTAGTATGTGGGAAGGTTAAGAGCTGTTGCGTGTGGTGGGTAAGGGCTGTAATGTGGGGAAAGAAGATGTAGTGGGGTATAGGGGCTGAAGGGCAAGTATAAAACAACATAACATTTTTAAAGTAAAATAAAAGTATATCACCCCTCCCTGAGGCTCCCCTTGGTTCCGGGAGGGGGTTACTGATCCCTGGTGGTCCGGTGAGAGATGTTGCTTGTCTGCTCCACTGACATGTGTAGAAATTCCGCAAGTCACTTCTAAAGGTGCCACAAGAGACATAAAGTTATATGTAAGTATAAATGTATCATCACTTTAGTTAAATTAATATTGCTACCTCTAACTTGCTGTACGAATTTCATTAATCAGTTTTTTTAAAGGAGCACTCCCAACACCAGAACAACTGCAGCTCACTGTAAAAAAATCAACACTGCTGGAAGACCCAGGAGGGTAGAGTGCAGACCCAGTAATCAAAATGCCAAAATGAATACA